TTTGTTATGCCTTTTCTTCACTAATCTCTGTTTACCAGATGATTTTCTTAGAGAACCTTCAGGAGGTTTAAAGGAATGTCTTCTCTTGGCCCCTACAGGCCCATTTATCTTTTCACAAAGTCATTTGCTTTTCCATAAGTGTCCTTTCTCCTACTAAATTAGGCATATAGACCCCAATTCTAACCACCCCCTTGAGTTACTCATCTTGGAAGTGCTCCATGCACATATTGTAAACTTCTCTTTGTTTTTCTCCTGTTAATCTGTCATTTGTCAGCCTACTTTTTAGGGCCCTAGCTGGAGAATCTACAAGGATAGAGGGAAAATCTTTTTCCATCTCCTACAGTTTCAGTTCTCTTCATCCTCCTCTGAGGGACCTAATTGTCTAGGACCTAAACAAAATTGTTTCCAAGATAAATTCTTCCTGTCTCTGTTGTAAGTAAAATTTTGTCTGCGAAAGGAATTCATACTCAGGGGTGAATCACAGTCTGAGATACTTGCAGTGAAGTGTGACTTTCATGAGGAATGGTAGGAAATTGAATCTAATTGGGTGGAGTTTAAGATGGTTATTTTTTGAGTGGGAGTGGGCTTTCCTATAGTTTTTAAATAGACTTTCCTCCTAAAACAAAAGGATTGGCAATTCTCTCCAGAGAAGTTTGGGAAAAAGTCTTACAGAAGAATGTGAGAATCTCCCAANGGCAATTCTCTCCAGAGAAGTTTGGGAAAAAGTCTTACAGAAGAATGTGAGAATCTCCCAATTAGCGTAGTTCTTAAGGCAGGTACTTGCTCAGCACAGCTTTTGACATTTTTTTCATAGTCAAGCAGCTAAGTCATGCTAGGGAAAGATAGGCAGCCAGTTCTAGCTGTTGGCAGGAGTCAGTTGATTTCAATTCTATGGCGAGTTGGCATTCGCTCTGTACATCCTGTTAAGTCTTAGCATATTTCAACTGAACTTCTTTAAGTAACTGTTAGGATGCTTTTTCTTTGATTCTCTACCAGGTTTCTTGCTTGGCACAGTCCACGCCATGGCAGGATCCTAAAGGAATCAGCATGGGCTGCCCTCTCCGAGTTGGCAACGCCGCCAGAGGGAGAGCTGTTGGCAAGGCCACAGCTACGAGCACTTGCTGCAACCGGAAGGGCTCCTGACTTGGCATAGTGGTACTGCTTTTGCTTTCTCTTTCGATGTTTTGGTTAGCGTGGCAGTTCTCTGAATTCCCAAAAGATTTTAAGAATAACACAGATGTTTTTGTGGTCATTGAATTAAATACTCCGACAGAGGATCCGAGTAAATTGGATAATTCTAAATTGTCCCTTTATGACAAATTGACCACACCAACGTATGCTTCAAAAGCACCACTCATGACTAAATATGAGCTGCAGCCTAAATAGGCGAAGTTATTTCAAAAAGGAAATTTCCATCCTCTCCCCACCATCTGGGTAACAAAATGGGGAAAGGAAAAATTTGGTATCCTCTTAGGGGACGTCCAAAATATGATGTAAGTTGGCAAACATCATTTACTGGAGATTATATTAATNCAACACCAAGTCAAGGGCTAAGATCCCCTTACCGGTCATCTTTAAAAAAAAAAAAAAAAATCTAAATTGGAAGTTGTTTATGAACTTGAGGCCTATGTCATGGTCTTTCTGATTTTTCTCTGACGGGCCCTGATGGTTCATGCTTATGCTTCCTACCTTTCTATAATATTGTTTCCTTAGTTTAGTTTGCCCTTTTACAGTTTGATTAAATTCCTTCTTTTTAAGTCCTGGCTTAAATGCCAGTTCCTCAGATTGTTGTTTCCTTGTTCCAGTTCTCTCACTAATTTGGGTACATCTTTATTGTTTTTTTTGGCACTGGCCAGTATAGGGATCTGAACCTCTGACCTTGCATTATAAGTCTGTGCTTTAACCAATGGGTATATCTTTATTAATGATAATTTGTTTTTTGTTTTTTAGGTTTTTTTTTTTCCTGCTGCTGGCTGATACAGGGATCCGAGCCCTTGATCTTGGGGTTATAAAACCCTGCTGTAATATTAACAATAATATTAATAGTTGTCTGTCTTTTTAATGAATGTTTACTATGCTCCAGGCTCTGTGAAACATTTTCCATGAATTGTCTTATTTAATTCTCACAGTAAACCTATAAGATAGCTGATGTCTGACTTTCATTTTACCAATGAGAAAACCATTGCTTTGTGAGTTCCTCAAGGGAAGGAGTCAGAGAAATGTGAACTGTAATATTTCTCTACCACTTTCCTCACCTGTAAAATGGGGTTTATAATACATTTCTCTCAAGGCTGTCAGTATTAAATGAAATAATATATATATATATACTGTTGATCACAAAAAATTAAATAAAATAAATGTTGGAGAAGGAGATACTGTGGGAGACCAGAATATGCCACTCCAAAATACAAAGGATTGTCAAGATGAAGACCATGAAGATGAAGCAGATGCAGAAAAGCTCTCTGCCCTCCCACAACTCACCCCAAACCAGGACATAGATTTACAAAGATAAAAGGTATCCTGTCACCCACCCCCTCTTCTACCAGGGAGGACAAAGGTTAACTACGGAAGAAAATTTTAGGCCCTTATTGGCCTGGAGATGGTACCAGAGGAATCTACATTAACAAGCTCTAGTAACCAGCTTTGATCTGCCATTTATTTGCTTTCCCCCAAATTGCTGCCCTTGGAGACTCAAAGTCCTTTACCTTTGTCTTGTCACTTATCTAAAAATGTATTCCTTTTTGTTGAAGATACTATTGTAGGGGCTAAGGAAAGACTTTCCCTTCAACCTCTTGAAGGTTCTCTAAGAAAATCATCTGGTAAACAGAGATTAGTGAAGAAAAGGCATAACAAA